CACACACACACACACAGTGAAGTTTTGAAAGCTATACTCCAATTGATGTCGTGATGCTTTACGGACACACACACATGCAGAATACAAAGCAGTACATGAATACACACTTTTTACAAATGAAACAAATTTCAGTCTTTCTAAAGAACTTTTTCTATATTGATGTTGAAACATATTTGTATTACATTCTGATTTGATTTGAACAAATAAGCAAAACATACATTTTCTAGGCACCTGCTTCACTTAGTGTTTTAACTGCATTATAAACTACTTTATAAATTTGTGCCCTGTCAAAATTACATTACTACTCTTAATATTCTCTATTCACGTAAAGACTCTAGAATTTACAAGGGAAAGCATCTTTTCAGCTCTCCACTTAATTATTGAAAAATATGAGCACAGGAGTCCAAAAGATCCAATAAATTATATCCATAATTCACAGTTCCGGGATTACAGAGATTCATACCTGCAACGTGGAATTAATTATAAGCAGCAGCAGTGGAAATCAAACGAAGGGAAGATGGTATTAACGTATTCTAGATCCATAACCTAGGAGGAGAATTCTTAAACCTGGTCTTTAAAAAAAAAAAAAAAAAGTGTGCTGCTGTCAATATCTCACCAAACACAAATTTAATTGACAATCTGCATTGCCTGATCCGTCCCCCCACCCAAAAAAATTGAAAAAAATCCACTGCACTTGGGTTTGGATTATCGACTTCTCAGTGCTAAAAAATCCATGCTTCAGAGAGAACTTTCTCTCCAATTTTCCATTTAGTGCACAGCGTGTGCTATAAATATCTGAACCAAACTGGATTGCATGCTTTAAAAACCACACAATATCACGTGTGGAGATTAAGGAGACAACATCTCACTGAAACGCTTTGACCGGCAGGTCTAACCAGGAGAAAGCAGTCATCGGGACTCATTTGTATTTGCTAAAGGATTGCTACAAGCAAATTTTTCCTGTGTCTGTTGCCATTAAAAAATAGCTAGCAAGTTTCTAATTTACCTGAAAAAAGTGTCACGAATTAACAATAACATCACAATAATTGGAAATTAAAGGCTATAAAGCAGATACAAGCTATTCATAAAAATAATACCCAGTTCTAATTTGATTAATTGTCTGCGCAGCTGGGTATTCCTAACCTTGGAATTCCATCCTAAAAAAACTGCACACTCTCTGCACGAAAGGAGCAACCAGGAAACTGCTTTTACAACATGTCAACACTGGCTTGTCAGTCCATCAAAGAAGCAGGAAAAATATAATCACCACTTTATCTTCTCTTTTCCCTGTCTCCCATACTCTTTACATGCTCTAAAACGCGTTCTGTAATTTTCCTTTAACTTCTGCAGATCTTCTTTTTATATGACCATTGTATACTATAGCTCTGACCCTTGACCTTCTTGCTAGTTGCCTCTAATATCAGTATTTTCGTATTTTAAGGTTATTCGACTATTGTCTCCCAAAGTGGAGCATGCTGGAATTGAGCTTGTATGTAGACCATGAAGCCTGTTTCAGCTTGTTGTTGTTTTTCCAGCAGGTATGATGTGGTACCATGTTTACTTTTTGTGGGCTGGTGTGTAGTATGAACTAACACTGACTGCGTGTATGAATAAAGGGGTATGTGTGTGTGTGTGTTCATAACGCTGTGTGTTCGGGTAGGTGGTAGGATTATGAGGGGGTTAAAGAATCTTTACTTGTGTGATTCACTCTTTCTCTCTTTCTACGTGTGTATGTGTAGATGTGTGTGTGTGTGGTCCTCAACCCAAAGAGGGTAGTTTCAAATAAAGGAGGATTCCATCTAAAAATCTACTCGAAATTATGAAATATTCCCAAAATTTGATACTAAAAAGTTGGAAAATGTAAATCTTATTCTGATAGCGCATTACAAAAACCGAAACAGAGGCATTTTTTATTTTAATATAAAACTAAATATAAAATTTAACAGCTAGCTTTTCCAGTTTTTATGCAGCTGTGGCCAGACAGGAACCTCCATTACACTGGAGATGGATTGCACTGCACTGGGATATTTAATGCCAATATGAGCCTGTAACATGTCAACAAACTGATGTAACAGTCCATCCCTGACAATTGCATTTTTACTGAATAGATTGCCTGCATTTTAAAGATAATCAATGATAAGCTTCAGGTGATTATCAATATTATTCATGTTTCAACAAGGATATGCAGCACTTTATAAAAGACCTCTTCATCTGTGTCCTGCATGCACACACACACACACACACACACACACGCACACACACACCAGAGCGTTTCAACTAAACTGGGAAAAGCCTGCTGAGGCTGAAAAGCAGCAGAGATGCCACTGACGTCTCCCTTCAAGCAAGTGCTGAGCATCTCAAGGTCAATAATATGGGATAAAATCTATAACATCTGCTTTGAATAATGACCACATAGGCAAGAAATGTGCGCTGCAGCATCAATAGTGTGAGCTGCAATTTTACATTGAATAGTGTTAACACAGAGACATTTGTCTTAGCTTAATTTTGTGCTGACAGCTTTACTGGGCTAACAAAAAACTTGGGTAAAGCCTATTAGCTCAGTGTTGAGGAGAACCGTGGAAAGAGGGAGAGAGGGACAAACAGGTTGTTGATAGAGCTCAAATTAATAACAGCAAACAGTTTGCTCTGCAGTAGCCTCATCATTAACCTGTGTATGGAAACATGTTGCAACCAGACAATGCTGCTGTCCCCTTAATGAACTTGTGATGAGAGTTTTAGACAGTAGGATACAGGCTCGTACAAACAGAGACAGTATTACTGTGTGCTTTGCTTCCTGCGTTGAATCCTCCTCCCCCACCTCCTGTGTTTGGTGGTTGCAAAAATTACAAAAAAAACCCTTTGCATGCTTTTGAACTCCTTTGCCAAGCCGCTACAAAATCCTCTGACACTCACAGGAAAAGTTTGTTAGAATCAACTGTCAAAACAATATTTGACCCTCAGCCTCTTTACCTAATGGTAATGATGAGCAACTCAATCTTTACTTTACACTTGTTGAAGAAGAATGTCGGCTAAAAGCCTAGTGTGCAAAATGTAACAGCAAAAAATGCCTATAGATGAATAGAGAGGTGAATACACTGACATACACTGGGTAGAGAAATATAACAGCCATAGTATCACTATGTGTGTCATGTATTTTAAAATTGCACAATGCAAATATGGCTGTACCTGAAATATTCAAGGAAAATAAAGATACTAAAGTCAATAAAAATACCAAAGAGAACTCTAACTTAGTCCAGCTTCACTGCTGAATACACACACACAGGAGGAGATAATAATACAATCAAACCGTGTTCAGCCATTGTAATACTGACAGGCTTTGATGCACTACAGGAACTTTATAATAAGAGCATTAATTAGGGCAACTATATATAAATATATATATATATATATAAATGAGACCTCACTATCAAAAACGATTATATACACAAAACAGATACGGGTCACCATAAGCGCACATTTGGTGTGTCTTTGGCATATTATTGCTATAGTGTAATGGTGGAGAATGAGGGACACTCACCTTGCAGCTCTCGCAAGTCAGAAGTCCGTAGTGATATCCTGAAACCTTGTCTCCGCACACGGGACACATCTCGTCCAAATCTTCGTCATATGAGTAGTCCATCATTTTTAACTGGGGTGCTGCGGATGAGACACGGACACAGAGTGAAGTCTATTTCAGTGCTGAGCAATCTCTTTTCCAAAAGCCCACCTTCATCCATCAAGATGAACCACGGGGAACCACGCGACTCATCTATATGAGATTTCTTTTAAGTTCTTTTGGACTTGTAAAGGTTTAATTTGAGGAGGGAAAAGACGATGAGTAGTCGATTTTGGAAAGAGTTGAGAGGACACAACCATTTATTTCTCCATGTTGCCGTCTTCTCTTCTACATTCGTTGCAGACAGGAGCCAAAAGATACAAAAAGGAAGAAAAAAAAAACATGAAAGTGAGCCTCATAAATATGCATGCATCTAAGTCGTGAAATCGCTGGGGGAAATGGAGAGATATTAGAGTTAAGGATTGGAGGAGAAAATGTTACCGCCCACAGACAAATGAAGACACACAGAGAAGCCCTTATCTCTGCAGGCGAGGGAAAAAAAACATGCAAAACCAACTTGAAACATCACCCCCCCCCTCCCCCCTCTCGAAGAATAACTCGCAACGCACCAGGCCAGTCGCTTTAGTTTCGTTCGTGTGTTTTGGTGGTGCAAAAGGCAGAGACAACATTTTGTGTGACTTTCTGCGTTCGCTGGAGAAAATAGTCAAATTTCGCAAATCTAACGAATAATTTTGACATGATAATTCCTCTCCTCATTTCCAAAGCAGCTTCAATAAGAATGAGGAGCAAACTAAAACAGCGCGCACTCTGCACTAACAATTACTTGCAATTTAAAATCAACCCCTCCATCTCTCTTTATTAAGATTTAGGACTCAGTGAACTAAAACGATTCGAGTACTGCTGCGATGTATTTGCTGTAGCCCCTCTTTGCCTTGCGTGTGAGAAATAGCTGCATTGATAAGACTGTGTGTGACAGCGCTTAGCAAACAGCCAGGCTGACATTTACAACAGTTACAAAAGCATTTATGGTTCTAATCATAAAAAAAGCAGCCAGGATCAAACAGGAAAACCTCAGTGGATGTGGCTGTAAAAGTGGAAATATTTTGTCAACTAGACGCCTCACATGTATTACTGGTCTACTTTAAAATCCACTCATCTGCTCACTGAGACCTTTTAATTAGACATGATTTCTGGTTTGTTAGCGCGTTGCCCTGCTGGGATCCGCGCTGCATATTCCAGCTGAAGCAACAAGTTCCACCGAACTGCCGTTTTTTTTTTTTTTTCCACAGACGCTCAAAGCAAACTCAATTTCTGACATTTCTTCTGCTTTAAAGCGCACAAAGAAGATGGCTAAAAAAAGGCCTGTTCTCATGACGCACGACAGCTGCAGGTTTGGACACATTTTAATAAAAAGGAAAGACACATTAACGGGTCATTGGTTGTGCAGTGGATGAGGCATAGGTAACAAAAAACCCCAACATACTTCTAGTTGGAAGTGTGGATGTTGCTAACGCCAAAAATAAAGGATATTTGTCTTTTAGAGTTTCAGCCAGATTTTTTCTCCCTTAAAAGTGAACAATCTCTATGCCGCTGGTATGCCTATTACCATGTAAACCATGGGTTCACATTTAAAGAATTATAGCAGCACAATGGATTATTTCTCTATTGATGTAAAGATGATGCTAAATAAATCCTTGCTTCATGAACAAGCGGAGGTTTGTGCAAAAACAGTGTGTGTTCAGGCTGCATTGCTTTCGAAAGGGGCAGAAACAGTCTCTCACCTGCTGGCTCTCACCTCGACGACCACTTGCTCATGCAATTTCCCAAAAAAAGCTACAACATGTGTAAAAAAATAAAATATTTTCCAAAAGAAAAACCTTCTTTCAGTCCGAGCTACCTTGTTTTTAGGCCTGCGTAAAAGTAGATAACGGGCTCTCTAACTAGCCACTCCTTATCAGCGTCTCATAAACCAGGACCGGACTAATTGATTGCCCGTTTATATTGCTGTGAAATGACACGAGGGGAATGAAGGGATGCGTGAGTTTATCTTGGCACAAGAGTCAGTCCCCTCTTTAAATTTTTGCTGCTTTGTGTCCTTTGTAGAAACAGATAAAAGAATATATATCTTAATATATGCCGCAGGGAATTTTAATAAATATGCCCAGACTGAAAACGTTTTTTTTTTTAAATCAAAGCTGCCCATTTTTGAAATCATAATTCTCCACATTTAAAGATCTAAAGCAATTATGCCTTTTGTGAAATATAATAAAAAAGTCAAGAAAATACGATAAAATAAATATATATATACACAAGTAAATGATTACGAAAGCCATATTTCGTGCCCCTTTTTAATTTAGTTGAGCCTTATTTTGAAATTGAATTGAATTTTTAGGCCAATTTTTTATAAACTACAAAACAGAAATTTGTTAAGAACATAACAAAATATAAATCAGTTTGGATTTATTCTTCTAAAGAATTACGACCATTTAACAATATCTATAAAGTATAAATTAGACTATAATTAACAGGCGTCTTAGTAAAGTTTACTGGCCCGAGGTCAATCATCAAATGGAATCTCTAAAATTATGCTCCGCAGTCTTTTTTTTTTCTTTTTGATGAACTGGCAACTACTTCATGAATAGAGACAAAATCACGAGTCAATTCTGCATATTAGCTAATAAACAGATATCTGCTCTTCTCGCCGTTTTTACGCACCAGGCACCCGCACACTTCCAGCATGAGTGACAGCTGGGTATAATCATTGTTTGATCACGAGCCAAACCTTAGAAAAGTGTGTCCAAGTTTGATCTACATTCATACTTCCTAATTATTATATCAAAGCCAAATTGAGAGAAAGTAACAGAAACATATCCCCAATCCATAATAAAATAAAATCCACAAATCTCTCTGAACTAATGGCCTTCATATGTCCAATAATTTAACGCGTTCATCATTCTATAATAGCCTATATTGACAGTCACCAGACATTACCCAACATTGTCCGCAGAAATGTGTTGGATATAAACGTGTTCAAAAGTTTTGGTGACATTGAGGTACGTACTGAGGACCTTCAGTCCGATAACACTCCGTAAATCTACTCAAGTGGAAGCTTATGAGTCTGCCTTCTAGTCTTATGAGATGAAAACGAATGACAGTTCTTACCTTGCATATTCCTTGGCATGTGCCCTTGTTCTCCATACGATCGAGAGAGTCCCAGGGATTCAGTCTCGACTTTGGGCAGCATGTCAGCGCTGCCGGCCTGAGCTGGAGACTCCGCACCGCTCGGCGGGACACCTGGACGTGAGAAGCAGACGTTCCCACAAATACGCCTCAGAGTGTCCCAAATGTCTTTTTAACTGTTTATTTTTTACTGTCTCTCTCTTTCTCTCTCTCTGTCTTCCAATTATTGGACCATGTTCGGAATATGAAGCCTGATTCAAACGATTCAGACTGTCTCCAAACTGCCGGGTTGAACAGCCGGCGCGCTTCTGCTCTGATTTAACTTCGCTAATTTAATTTCGCATAATTGCATTTGCGCACAGCACCGCAATAATAACGCAGATCACCAAAGAGTGATTCCTTCGATACTTTTCGGACAGTTGCGACCGGAGTTAGGGAATCAGTCTCTTACTCAAACGAGAAAACTGCACAGCGTCCAGATTAAAAGACGATGGTAAATTTCCCTTTAGCTTTCCCAAAAGTCTTTTAAGCGCGTCACCCATTAAAGTGGGACTGTCAGTGTTACTTTCAGCCTTTAGCAGACGAATACACGCCGCCGGGGCCGCCCTCTCCTGCGCGTAAAGTCGGATTCGGTGTGTCGGTCGGACTGTCTGGAGATGTGGAGACCTCTCCTCCTCCTCCTCGCGGCTTTGTTTACTCCGCTCTCTCCAATCCGGGGCGCATGCGGTCGTCTGACATCATCTTTCCTCTGCCCAATCAGGCGAGGAGACCGGGAAACATCGCCTCAAACCCTCCTGTTCCATCTCTCTAAAATCTCAGCTGTTTAATCCCGTTAATGATGGACTTTAAAAGCGGAGGGAGAACAAGGAAATCAAGCGAGGTGATGCAACTGCATGTGAGAGCAGACTCCCCATGAGCGCACGGAGCGCAAAGGCAGCGCGCAAGGTATGTGGGTTGGAGCGTGTGTTTCTAACAGGAGCTCATTGCAGCTCACAAGCACGCACGCACGCACGCACGTGGGTACACGCGCTTCTATAATGTCAAGTTTTATCAAATGCAACTCTTCATCTTTACTGGTTTATTGCAATATTTAGTTAACGTCAAGAATGAATTTTAGCATCATGTTCTCTGCTTCTGCGCTGATCTAGAAGCGACCCCACTGATAATTAAAAGTCATAAATATGACAAAATAAAATGTATCTTTCTTTCTTTCTTTCTTTCTTTCTTTCTTTCTTTCTAATAGGACTATCACATTGTATAATGCAGGCGAAGGACAAAGTAAATTCTGCATAAGGCTCATATGAATAAAAAGTAAAAATAACGTCAGTGGCTTTTGGGTCTGTTTGTTCAATTTTGTTGAAAACGTGAGCAGCGCCGGCCTCAGGCTTAAAACGGTCTTTATTTTTGGATCAAATCAGCCCCCTTACGCAATAAATTATACCTTTGCTTCTGAATTATTATCAGTAATTGGCTGAGCAGGGATCAATTAGTGATCTGACGTCAGGCTCGGGCTATTTAGCCTATTCTTAATTAAATATACAAAGACAAAAAATAATTATGAGCCTACGTCCCAGTAAAGCCACCCTCCACGCACCCCAACACACGCAAACACATACACACCTATTTTAGTAGTTCACATAGACACATCAGTCTCAGCCGGTGAGCACGACCAGGGGAGACACGGAAAACTCAGGGGGCAGACAGCCAGACACAACTGAAGGGTCACAGAGGGCGAGCTCCACACACTCAGTCACTCTCTCACACACACACA